TTCTTATTAAAAAATGAGTTCATGCTTGGACTGAACAAAAACTCGCCCAAAATGTTAGAAAAGAATGTGAATTGTGTTCTCGGTCCAGATTTTAGAATAGCATAATTGGTGTGGTTGGTTTCTTGAGAGAATGGGCTTTAAAATTATGCATAACACGCCATAGAAGCCCATAGTATCTTCCCCTTACGATCAATGTTTGCAAGTTTTGAAAATCATTTGAAGTAGAGGCCTGAGTACCCCCTTTTGGGAAACCCTGCTCCAAGCTATGACATCAGCTTGTATAGGATCAGAATCAGAATCATTTTTAATTGCCACGTAAGTAACAAAAGTCATCAGTTGGAAATTGCATGGAGCTCCCAGTTTATCATTGAAAACATGATATTGGATATTTTTTGTTTTTTTTTTTCCATTACTGTCCACCAGTCATTTTAGACCAAAACCCAAGCCATAACTTATGGCCATAATTTATGGGTTTTATAAAGCGCTTTTTAGGACTCTCAAAGACGCTTCACATGTCAATATTCATTCACTCCAAACACGGTGGAGATAAACTACTGTAGCCACAGCTGCCCTGGGGCACACTGACAGAAGCGAGGCAACCAGTCTGTGCCATCGGCCCCTCCCACCACCACCAACCATTCACACACACACCAGACTCATTCAAGGCAATGGGGGTGAAGTGTCTTGCCTAAGGACACAACCACAATTTGGCACTTTACAGCCGCAGCCGCCCCACTGTGGCACCTGCTGTTCCCAGAGGTTAATGTCTTGCCCAAGGACACAACGACAGCAGACATCAGTGGGAGTCGATGGTGAAAGTCTTGAGGTGGGCTCGAACCCACGACCTTCTGGCTCAAAGGCCAATGCCCTACCAACTGAGCCACTGTCGCCTCTAACTAAAAACACAGCATTTAAGATAAAATAAGATAGACTTTGATGATCTCACACTGGAGAAAAGTACATGTGGCATTTGACCTACAGCAGGCATGTCCAAACTCAGACCCGGGGGCCAAATGCGGCCCTCGGTGTCAATTTATGTGACCCTCTGCCTCGCTAACCCAAAATAGTCTTTGAGATCATAAACACAAGTTCACTTTGTCATCCATCCAACTTCAGCTCAACCAACATAGACTTTTTTCTAAAGCCCAGTACATTGTTGACTTAAATTTGCACATACTCTACTAACATGGTTTTTGATTGGTGAGATGGTAAACATTTATCATTCAGCCAACTTCAGCTCTGTTATAGATCATCATAAAGCTCAGAACAGCCCGATGCCAGTCAAGACAGTTTTTCAGTTTGTGATGTCGGCCCCGGGACTAGTCTGGTGAACCAAAGTGGCCCTCTATCTAAAAAGTTCGGACACCCCTGGCATTTAGAGAATCACTCTGTGCAAAAGACAGAAGTGTGCAAACAACATTTACATCTGAGCGTGCACTGGGAGGTAACCCGCATTATCGTTTCCCTGGGAACATTGTCCGGGGTAAGTCCAGGTCCTGGATGAGAGCACAGCAATACATTTCATTAACGATAATTCACCACAAACCAGCGACTACAGGCTTTTTTTCTCATTGCTTATGGTCTTTAGAGAAACTGATGAGAAGGCACTATGGAGTGTACTAGCCAGCATTTAGCATCTAATCTCGTGCTTAATCATTCCACTTGAAAGTCTTCAACAACAAAAGCCTCGTTTGGAATCACACTAATTATATTTTTCCAGGACAAACAAGGCGAGGCTGCATGCTCTGTGTTGCAAAAAAAATAATAATAATTTGCTCCATTACAAGTCGAGGTAAAAGTTGCAAAATGGTGCGGGGGTGAAGCTCTCTGAATGCTAACAAGTACACAAATCCCAATATACTTGCACTAAATAGCAATCTCCTTCTATTTGCCTGCTACATTAGGTTAACTTAATACACTTAAATCTCCAAGCCCAAAATCACGCTGCTTTTCCCTTTTACAAAAACCCCTCACTGAAGCAGCATTTTAATTCCATTCATTTAAATAATGCAGAGCTATTAGTTATATTAAAGATAGGGAAGGGCTGAGGCTGCCGCTTCACAAACTTTTATGGCGTTCGGGGGCCCGCTTTTATCCGCTACTGGCTGCCACTCAAGAACGGAAAAAGGGGCAATTTAATCAAACGTGAGACATCTAAACACCGATGGGAGGGGTCGACAAAAGTGTGTGTGTGTGTGTGTGTGTGTGTGTGTGTGTGTGTGTGTGTGTGTGTGTGTGTGTGTGTGTGTGTGTGTGTGTGTGTGTGTGGGTGGGGGGGGTACAGTGATGATCAAGACGTGCGCCATTATTGGTGTTCAGCAAGTCCCGGGCGCAAGGAGAAGGTTGTATGTCTGTCAATGTCTCGTCTTTTCAGGATCACGGCTAAAAGGGAAGCCTGTGTAGGGGGAGGGGGTGGGCGGTTGCTGCTTAGAAGGGGCTGATGAATAGCTGGAGGATGGGGGGGGGCAGGTCAGAGGGTGAACAGCTCATCGGATGTCTTGAGCGAAGGATCATGGGAGCGTGCCAATCGGACATGATGTGAATGCCAACGGTGTACAGTGTGAATTTCCGCTCCATTGCTGGCGTCTTACGGAGATGGTATCGCGCCTGGAACGGTTGACAGAATGGCCTTAAACCTGAATCTGCATCCACGGAGACGAGCAGGTGATGTCACACGGCACTGTACCGTGGTCATGTCATACGATCAACGTTCTGCTACGAGAGGTTCGTCGGGAGGAAGTGATGCTGTCGAAGAATATTATGTCAGTGCAGAACTTTGCTTAAGCTGCAAAAAGTGTCAATGGGACAAGCTAAATGTTTTGTTTTGAAAAAGGCTAACTTGGAATGAGAAAATAAATGCGACAGTGATTTTTTGCAGTATAGGGTAATGTTGAGTTAATTGTTCGACAGAATGGCTTTTTAAATTTGACAACAGATTTAAACATTAAGCTAATTCCCACCCGCTTTCTCCCTGAACTATTTTACATGCAAAAGTCCCTGTCTGACCCGGGGATCAAACCCAGGACCTTCTTGCTGTTCAGAAAGAGTGCTAACTGCTGCACCACAATGTCGCGGATTGAATACATTTCTTCAGGCCATGAAACTTGCATATCTGATCTGTGAGATGTCTTAATCATTTTAACACTTATAATTGAATCAAGGATTATAACTGTTGGACCCTCAAAGACGCTTCACATTATTATTCTCTCTCTCCAAACACGGTGGTGATAAACTACTACTGTAGCCACAGCTGCCCTGGGGCACACTGACAGAAGCGAGGCAACCAGTCTGTGCCATCGGCCCCTCCGACCACCACCAACCATTCATACACACACCAGACTCATTCTAGGCAATGGTGGTGAAGTGTCTTGCCTAAGGACACAACAGCAGTTTGGCACTTTATAGCCGCAGCCGCCCCACTGTGGCTGGTGTTCACAGAGGTTAAGTGTCTTGCCCAAGGACACAACAACAGCAGGTTCAAAGGCCAATGCTCGACCAACTAAGCTACTGTCACCATCTAATCTAAAAGTGTATTGTATAGAAAATCCAACACGTGCAATCTTGTTTTACGATATAATTTTTGTTCACATTATTTTGACCAATCAGGTGACATTGAATGATTTCCATAAGCACAACTAACAATATATCAAGGCTATCTAATATACCATGGGACACAGGTTGAAAAACTCTGTATGTAGTCCGTAAATAGTGTATATGTTTGTTTTAACTAACTGATTGTATCGTCCAAATCATTTAGTAATTGACTCAACAGTTATTGGACAACAGAAGACACATACAATCCACACTCAAAGGAATTAAACACACTTATAAACGTCACCAGAAATCCCCTGCCCTTAGAGCCTCCTTCACCGAAAACTACCCAAAAGACAATCTAACAGGCTCCTAAATAATCTACTTGAGAAGAATAACTCAGGTGATATTGCATAATTTACAAAAGCCCACTTAATATATCAAGGCTCTCTAATGTACCATGGCACACAGGTAGAAAAACTCTGTATATATTCTGTAAATAGTGTATGTTTGTTTTTACTAACTTGTTTTTGTGTTGTAAATGAGTAAATATATATAAATGTCACCAGAAATCCCCTGCACTTAGAGCCTCCTTTGCAGAAAACTATCCAAAAGAAACTCTAACGGGCTCCTTAAATATCTACTTGAGAAAAATAACTCCCAAAAATGCACTGCGCAGAAGCCGTCGTTAACAATTTAGCACTCACCAAATGAACGCAGATCAATGGCGTACACGTGTTAGGGTGAGAGGGGTTGTTTGTGCGTCGAGGGCTTTGCTGCCGTACAAAACTGACCAAAGCGAACCTCTTCCACATCCGTCAGTTGTTTTTACGTTACCCGTCAGCTAACATGAAAGGCTCTCACGGCCGATGTGTGATGAAGTTATGTAATACGGACTTCAGTGAAATTGCTTTATCGTTTATGAAGGAAATTGCAACTTTCTCCCCCTCATTGCAGCCTCTTCTTAAAAAAAAAAGCAAGCAGAAGCACAGAGGGAAAAACCACTGAATTCAAGGTTGCCAAATAATATATATATTTATTATGTATTTGTGGGGAAGATCTCAGCGATGATTTCAGATAATTTCTTTAAAAGTGCAACCACCCACAGGCTTGTGAAGCAACAGATTCCACCACAGCAGGGGCCACAGGGATGAGCAGGAGAGAGTAAAAGACCTTTTTGTTGATTAAATTGTGTTGATTTAGCTGTTTTGCTGCTCTAGGGCAGCTTCAAAAACTGGATTTTTTGTTTTTTTTACTGAGACGCCCAGTATTTATCACAAAAAAACCTTGTTCAAAATAACATGAATCTTGGGGCCTGTTAAGCATAGAGGCTGCGCACGGTAACCCGGAGTGTACAGGTATCGCAGACGTAATTGCTCTCCGTGATTCCCATTATTGAGAGTAAACACAGCAATAGAGAGTGACGGTGAAACGGCAAAGTCAATACAGAGAAGTTTTGGAAGACTTACTCATAAACCTGCAGCTGAAAACACTGACTGTTCAAGAAGAGGAACTCCCAGTCGGCGCCGTAGTCGATGGCCAGCTTCCTCTGGAGGTCACTGCAGAGGAGACAGAAGTACAGTCAGCAGAACAACAGGCACAGATGGGCATGGTCTTTCTCTTTCTCTTCTACCTTAAATTATTTGCGTTGTGCTTGTCGAGTTATTGTTTGTACTGTTGCCTAATTGTGTGTATGTGTGATTTTACCTGCCTTAGGACAATGAATGAGATTCCAGCATATTTATATTGAAGCTGTATGCAGACACATTGATTAATATGTACTTTCCTGAATTAAAATACAAATACTTTTTTTTTAAGTAACTACCCTGGACACAAAGACATATTTATGGAAATGGTCTAGTATTGAGGCTTCGTGCCAGAGGATTCCCCGACACATTTGAGAAGTGCTAATATCTTTTATTATTTATATTTTATTAGCCCACAGGTAAACATTACTCATTTTGTTTAACGCATACAAGCCCTTTGAGCACCAACATTTCTGAAACCAAAACATTTTACAGCGACCTGGCTTCCCATAGACATTTCCATACACTTTATTCCATTGTTGTCATTTCATCGAATTGATCCATCCATCCTTTTCTTCCCCTTAATCCATTTCTGGGTCGGGGGTGGCAGTCAGAGCACCAGCCCCTCACTGATCCTCCTGCAGATGCTGAGTCCACAGGAGCTGATATCTTTCAGCAGGGGCTTCAGGCAAAGTGGGTTAAGTCTCTTGCCCAAGGACACAACGACAGCAGACATCAGTGGGAGTCGTGAAGTAGGTCTCACGGTGGGCTTGAACCCACAACCTCCAGGCCCTAAGGTCAATGCTCTACTGAGCCACTGTCGCCCTAATTGATTCAATGCATTTAATATCCATCCATCCATTTTCTACCCTTTAATCCATTTCTGGGTCAGGGGGGTGGCAGTCAGAGATGCCAAGTCTCATAGCACCAGCCCCTCACTGACCCTCTGCAGGTGGTGAGTCCACAGGAGGACGGCTGCTCTCTGAGTGTGAGCATAGCCTTGATCTTTCAGTGGGGGCTTTGGGCAAAGTGGGGTTAAGTGTCTTGCCCAAGGACACAACGACAGCAGTCATCAGTGGGAGTCGGTGTAGAGGTGGGAATTGAACCCACGACCTTCAGGCCTGAAGGCCAATGCTCTACCAACTGAGCTACTGTCGCCTGCAGTTTAATATATTCAACATATTTAGGCCCGAGCCCCAACCGGGGTAAGGGCCTATTGCTTTTCCAACGAGTAATGCCTGGGCGAAGCCCAGGCATTACTCGTTGAACTGTCATAAGTCACAATCTCCGGGCGCAGCCCGGAGATTGTGACCTGCACTCGACGGCACGTGGCCAAGCACTGATAAATCCGGAATGGCTTTGTTCCTGCTCTAGTACACAGTGAAATGATTGAAGTCCTATTAAAGGGGGGTTCCTTCAACTGTCTTACGGACGAATGTCCGGGCAAAGCCCGGACATTCGTCCCCCAAGCCCGACGGCGCGTACCCAGACACTGACAAAACAGTGCCGGAGGCACTGAATGGCTTTGCTCCTGCTGTAGTACACAGTGTAATGAATGGGGTCCTATGGGGGGGGTGGGTGACCTCATGATGGCGAGGTGATTGACGAGCGCGTCAGCGCTCGTCAATCACCGAGAACCCAATAGTTGCGTTCGTCTGGTCGTTCGCTTTAAAACAACGTATCATTTGTATTATAGGTTACTATAATTTTTGTATGAAACCTATATTGTTTTTGCTCGAAGATTTAAAAAAAAAATTCCTTGGTTTGGTTTATTTATTTCTTTTTTCTTCTGCACTTTGAACCTTAATTTGACCCCCTGAACATTGATGAAAAGTTGTGAAATTTTGCCCAAAATTCAGAACTGGCGAAAAATTAATTTTTTTGGTGTTTATTTTTATGGGACTAAAAAAATGACCGAACAGCGCCCCCTACAAAAGTCAGTTTACATTGCGCCTATGGGAGGAGGTTGGAGGTCAAGTTTGTCGTAGAGCCACGAAATTCGGTACACATGTTCCTCAAGTCAAGACATGAAAAAAAAGTTATTATGGCTCCGCCCCCTGACAAACAGGGAGCTCATTAATTTAAATGGGAAATGGAAAAATGAAAATAGATATTTTTCACACATGTCGGCTGGAAATTATCTCCTCCTCGGCCGCTTCACTGATTTGTCTCAAAATCGCTCCACATGGTCTAAACCCATGTCCCATCTATTATTGAATATAGAATTTGGATCAGTTAAACGTTGTCCGAGCAGCGGAGCGGCAAAATGTGACATGTTTTTTCCAATTTTTGAGAAAAGTAAATTTGCTCCCATTTGCACAAAAAAAGTCAGATTTGCACAAAATTTTAATCCCTTGTTCAGCTCCAGGGTCTAGGTCATTTGAAAGTTTAAATATTGAAATTGGCTCATGAGCGCCCCCTACAGACTATGTCAAAGATTTACATGGGCCTAATAAAATTTAGTTTTTTCAAAATGTTTGAAATTTTTCACATAATTCTGTTTTGTCATCTGGATTCAAAAAGTCAATGACAACATATGATTATTTTTTACCCTGTTCCCGTGGCGACGACAAACACTCCCCTGTCTGTGTCTATGAGAAAATCGTTAAAAATTTGAAAAGTACACCTCGCTCAAACATCAAACCAGCCACGGCCGTTTCAATAATTGTTCTGAAAATCATTCCACATGGTCTCCACACATGGACCATCAATAGTTGCATATAGAGTTTTAATTAGTCAAACGGTCTGAGCGTGACAGACTCCCAAATTGTGGTTATTTTCATAGAGAGATGTGAAGTTCCCATGTTATCCAATGGAGACAGTATGGACACACTCACATATTACATGTGCTCCTGTTTGCACATTTACAAACTCTGATTTGCACTAAACTTGACTCGGTTGTTCAACTCCTGGGCCTAGGTCACATGACAGTGGGAACAATAACATTGGCCCATTAGCGCCCCCTACAGGCTGAGTAAAGGTCTACATGGGGATACAGGTATTTAGGTTTTATGTTGTTTGATCTCATATTTGACCCACATAACAAACACAAAAACTCACCAAACTTTGCCACAAGTTTTTTTCAGGCATAAAGTCTATTATTTTGGTTTTCTTTGGTATAACACAAAAAAATTTAATTGTAGGGGGCGCTGTTGTACAACATTAAATGCCACCATTTGCACATAAAAGGTCCGATTTGCACAAAATTTGATTTGATAGTCCAACTCTTGGGTTTGAGTAAACTGAACGTGTAAATCATGGAAATGCAGCATTAGCGCCCCCTACAGAGTGATACAAGTGTTACATGGAGAGACTGGGGTTTACCTTTTCAATAGAGACACACAATCACTGATCATAGTAATTCAAAATGCACAGTGTCGCTCCCATCAGGGGGGAAAAAAAATGGCGCGTCAGCGCCACCTCCTTTGCGCGGTGCGGCGAGGGCCGTTAGATGCCGCTTGCGGCTTTAATTGTATTTATTTCCTGTATCCTCTAAAATGTGTCACAGTTTCACCATTTGTTTGTTTGACATTAAAACCTAAAGAAAGATTAAAGTATCATATGGTACACTTAGTTAAAATGATTTCAAACCTGCACAACACAATATCTGATATATTTAAGGCAGGTGTCTCCAACCTTTTTCACCCAGAGAGCTACTTTCCCGAGACGATAAACACAGAGAGCTACCCCTTTAAGCTGGGAAAAAACGTGGTGATTTTTTGGTTTGAACAAGCGTGATATTGGGTGCATTCATTATTGATCATTGCATATTTGTTACTAGGGCACAAAGTTGTTAACAATGATAATGAATAATACAATCTGAAATATGAAGTATATGTTTGATTTGTTAATTTCTCAATCCTTTGGCGAGCTACAGTACCTGGAAGGCGGTGGCGAGCTACAGGTTGGAGACCCCTGATTTAAGGTAATACAGAATTGAAAACAACACACAATAACAATACAAATATACAACAGAATACAATTATGATCCTGTGCAGTACATAGAGAAATATCCAATACCCTACCACACACAAACACACACCAGCCCAAACACTCTCTGACCCTACAGCCCACTCCCATTATCTGCTCCGTGCTGGGGGTATCGCTCTCACTCCTCTAGGTACTTTAACAGCCAAGATCACCTAATCCATGGTCATGAATTATGTATATCTCCGGCTTCCTCTTTGCTGCCGTAGTGAGGACTTTAAACCATTGTAACAACATAAGAATCTCGCTGCGAACCCCAGTTTAACGACCTTGCGCAAAAAGTCTCTGTGAACTTTCCGTGCACCGTTTACAAGTATCAATACGGCTCCCCTCTCCCTCCGCCGTCCCCTCCAGATGCTTTACAAGTCGGTGAAGTGACTGAAGTGTGCTGACACAGTGGCTTTGCGCTCCTTCCATTCACCGACTCCATGGACAGTGCGTTGATGAGGCAGCCCTTAAAAACCCATTTCTATGCAGACTCCACAATTATGGCTATTGACTCGGGCTGCATTCCTCCACTAATCACATATAAGGGAAGTGAAGCCTATCTCTTAACGGTACACCGGCCTCCATTTCCATATTCAAAACCCGGAACGGCTAATGGGGTTAACTGTTTGGTCCACTCACGAGTTTGGCTTTAGTTTGATCTGGGCAGCAGCAGACGGACTGGAAAACTTTTTGCAGACGTGTTTTGGATGAACCACACTTCTACACATTACTACACAACTCGGACTGAGAACTGAGAGATTGGGGTTGACTATTCAGCAGGTGTCTCCTCTGAACATGTAACTTTGTATTGATGTGTGCGGGGAGGGCCTGGAAAGAGCTAAAAGTCCAAAAACAATATTATGTTTGAGAGTGGAATTGTATGGGTTATCTTTTAAATTAATGTGAATATAATCAGTCTAGACAACTTTTGTTTGACCTACATTGGAGTGTGGAAATCTACCATTGAGGTGTTGAAACCAAGCTAATAATTATCCACAGTGTCCACAATTGGGGTGTTTTGTGAAACTACTGTATGTTGCAAGACGTTGTCCAACAAGTGGTGAATGTTTTTATCTTGTGGGGCTTTTCCGTTGTGAGGGTGTGGGTTTTCTGTTCTGAATAAATAATCCGCCTGCATAGCATCAAGCAGGACTTGGCTTTTGGCTGTGTAGGACGCACAGGACTCCTTACCAAACTCCAATTTCCTTTTCTGAATCTGTGATGCGTGGATAGTTTGGCGGCGTAGTGCAGGCAATTTTTCTTGAAGGATTAAAAAACTTGAACTGATGCCAGCCTTTGATTAGAATGTGTTTATTGTTCAAGTGCAGGTGATACGATGGGACTGAATACGAAAAGACTCATTTTAGATCAATACCGATATTACTGCTGATCTTACTGCTGATCTTACTACCGATATTACTGCTGATATCACTGCTGATCTTACTGCTGATCTTACTACTGATATTACTGCTGATATTACTGCTATTATTACTGCTGATCTTACTACTGATATTACTGCTGATATTACTGCTGATCTTACTGCTGATATTACTGCTGATATTACTGCTGATATTACTGCTGATATTACTGCTGATCTTACTGCTGATCTTACTGCTGATCTTACTGCTGATATTACTGCTGATCTTACTGCTGATATTACTGCTGATCTTACTGCTGATATTACTGCTGATATTACTGCTATTATTACTGCTGATATTACTGCTGATATTACTGCTGATATTACTGCTGATATTACTGCTGATCTTACTGCTGATCTTACTACTGATATTACTGCTGATCTTACTGCTGATCTTACTGCTGATATTACTGCTGATATTACTGCTGATATTACTGCTGATCTTACTGCTGATCTTACTGCTGATATTACTGCTGATATTACTGCTGATCTTACTGCTGATCTTACTGCTGATCTTACTGCTGATCTTACTGCTGATCTTACTGCTGATATTACTGCTGATATTACTGCTGATCTTACTGCTGATATTACTGCTGATATTACTGCTGATCTTACTGCTGATCTTACTGCTGATCTTACTACTGATATTACTTCTATTATTACTGCTGATCTTACTGCTGATATTACTGCTGATCTTACTGCTGATATTACTGCTGATCTTACTGCTGATCTTACTGCTGATCTTACTGCTGATCTTACTGCTGATCTTACTGCTGATCTTACTGCTGATATTACTGCTGATATTACTGCTGATCTTACTGCTGATCTTACTGCTGATCTTACTGCTGATATTACTGCTGATCTTACTGCTGATCTTACTGCTGATCTTACTGCTATTATTACTGCTGATCTTACTGCTGATCTTACTGCTGATCTTACTGCTGATCTTACTGCTGATCTTACTGCTGATCTTACTGCTGATCTTACTGCTGATCTTACTACTGATATTACTGCTGATATTACTGCTGATATTACTGCTGATATTACTGCTGATCTTACTGCTGATCTTACTGCTGATCTTACTACTGAAATTACTGCTATTATTACTGCTGATCTTACTGCTGATCTTACTGCTGATCTTACTACTGATATTACTGCTGATATTACTGCTGATATTACTGCTGATCTTACTACTGATATTACTGCTGATATTACTGCTGATATTACTGCTGATCTTACTGCTGATATTACTGCTGATCTTACTGCTGATCTTACTGCTGATCTTACTGCTGATCTTACTGCTGATCTTACTGCTGATATTACTGCTGATATTACTGCTGATCTTACTGCTGATCTTACTGCTGATCTTACTACTGATATTACTGCTGATATTACTGCTGATATTACTGCTGATATTACTGCTGATCTTACTGCTGATCTTACTGCTGATCTTACTACTGATATTACTGCTATTATTACTGCTGATCTTACTGCTGATCTTACTGCTGATCTTACTGCTGATCTTACTACTGATATTACTGCTGATATTACTGCTGATCTTACTACTGATATTACTGCTGATATTACTGCTGATCTTACTGCTGATCTTACTGCTGATCTTACTGCTGATCTTACTGCTGCTCTTACTACTGATATTACTGCTGATATTACTGCTGATCTTACTGCTGATATTACTGCTGATATTACTGCTGATATTACTGCTGATCTTACTGCTGATCTTACTGCTGATCTTACTACTGATATTACTGCTATTATTACTGCTGATCTTACTGCTGATATTACTGCTGATCTTACTGCTGATCTTACTGCTGATCTTACTACTGATATTACTGCTGATATTACTGCTGATATTACTGCTGATCTTACTGCTGATATTACTGCTGATATTACTGCTGATCTTACTGCTGATCTTACTGCTGATCTTACTACTAATATTACTGCTGATATTACTGCTGATATTACTGCTGATCTTACTGCTGATCTTACTGCTGATCTTACTGCTGATCTTACTGCTGATCTTACTGCTGATCTTACTGCTGATCTTACTGCTGATCTTACTACTGATATTACTGCTGATATTACTGCTGATCTTACTACTGATATTACTGCTGATATTACTGCTGATCTTACTGCTGATCTTACTGCTGATCTTACTGCTGATCTTACTGCTTGCAAATAGAAAAAATATTCAAATTGTACTGAATATGAAAATTAAAACCCATATCTAACACTACTGAATATTGTATGTGAAGTCATCTTTAAGACTGGAATAGCAATGTGTATGAGTAAGTAGGGTAAAGGGACGATTCTAAAGGGAAGGTTTGACAAAGCAGCACAGATAAAGACAGATCTTGGAGAAAAATGTTAATTAATTGAGTCATCCAGTACATTATAACCAGGAGGAGCCACTGAATCTACGCAAAAAAATAAGTCACGCAAGCTCTGTTTCCTCCTTCCTCCTCATACCATTGTTTGTTTAGGGGGAAAAAATCTTGACCTTTGGGTAATTGCCATCTTGCTGCTTGGCTCTCCTCTACCTCTGCTGTAATGAACAGTTTGCATGCCTGAGGGCCACCCAGGCTACTTATCTGCCATTGCCGGCTGGCTGGGAGCACGGCAAAAACAGGCAAAACACTGGCCAGGGCTAAGGGTTTTGTTCCACCGTACACAACATTCATTAAAAACTCTAAAACATAACGCTCCTCGCTAAAACCGCTCATTTCAAGCCATTCTTTTTCAATTATGCAGAATAATTACAATGTTCACCGCACTGCTTGGCTTCACTTTGCACTTAAAAAAGGTACCAGGGAGAGTTGGATTATTCATGCCAAGCCAAATCTTTTGTCAACGTGAGCCAGAATAGGCCTATCCTGCGCTGCTCAGTAGGCAGCCAATAGCGTTTGTTTTTCTTCATTAAAATTAGCCCTAGGTACCGCGCGGTGCAAATTCATTACTGTGCAGCTTTGCCGGTCTATTTTAGGGTCTGGTTACACATACACAGCCACCCTGCTTACAGCACTCACTAGCACAGACATAAATCATCCCGTGTGTGGATGATACAGCCCTAAATTGGCCAAAGCCGAACAACCTCCTCTACCTTAATTCTGCGTTGACTCGTTCGTAAGACTCCTCCGCCTTCTTCAGATTTGTTGCCTCCCACTCGGCAGCTAGACAAAACAAAAAAGGTCAGACAAATTAACAATGTGGACTTGAAGCGTGAGAGCAGCTGCATGTTAGCAAATACCGGTTACTTGAGAAACAGCGTTAAGAGAATGGGCCAGAGAGATGAAATAAGCAACAGAAAATGTGTTATTCCATGTGTGCTGAAATCGCCCCAGGACTCACAAGTTCCACAGAGACAACAGTGTTATTCAGACGTGGGAAAATGGGAGTAAAAGTCTGCGGAAGTTTGCGACCGCTGTAGTGCTGGCGTTGCGCAGGTGGATATCAGAGCCTGGACATCTGATGCTAAAGGGGGGGAAAAAATCGTCATCTTCTTCAAGGGCTTTTGACAGTGACAAAAATGTAATGGAACTGTGAGTCCAAGTCAAGTTGACAGACAGACGCTGAGAAGTGTCTGCACCTGTCGCCACATCCACTAACTCTGAAAAGTGGGTTTCACACTGAAGGGAGATGACAACAAATATGGCAGCAGAGTAGTAAACTAGGTCTGAGCAATCTATACTGTAAAACATGTAGAAAATGATTACATCTAAATATTGATCTCAAAGGATGTAGACTTAGTATGTAGACCTTTTTTCATTCCTTGAAGAAAGCCATGTAATGTGTTTATTATTTTGGATTTTGTAAGTGTATAAAACCAAGCGATAGAGATGAGGTAGATTTGTTTGTTTGTTTTTGTTTAGATCCACATCAGCTACCGAAATATCCATCCATTTTCTTCTCCTTAATCAATTTCTGGGTCGGGGAATGGCCAAAGATGCTATGGGCTTCGGGCAAAGTGGGGTTAAGTGTCTTGCCCAAGGACACAACGACAGCAGACATCAGTGGAAGTCAGTGGGGAAGGTCTCATTGTGGGCTTGAACCCTAAACCTTCAGGCTCTAAGGCCAACGCTCTTCCAACTGAGCCATAGAACAGTTTAAATTGACGAATAGTTTTACATTGCTTATGTTGTGAGTCCAGTTTGTTCCAAAGTTTTACTCCACAAACAGACAGACAAAAACATTTACGAGTGGTTTTTGATCTCGGCAGTGAAAAATATCCAAAACCTCTCAAGTTATGAGCTTGCTCAGGAGTCGTAAAGAAACGCTGCAGATTAGACGGTAATAATTTGTTGAATGCTTTATATAAGACTATTGATGTATTATATTTTACAAGATCATCAAACTTTAGAAGCTCTGAGTAAACAGATAAACAGAAAAACAACCTTATGGATGATCCGCACTGCTCTTTTCTGTAATATGATGAGAGGATGTAGTGTGTTGTGGTAAGTGTTAACCCCAGACCTCAACACAACACGTCAGGTATGGAAGAACCAGGTTGCAGTATAAAGTACGCAGTGCATTTCCATTAAGGTATAGTTTTGCTTTTTTATAATTGAGAGGCTTTTGGATATTTTTGTTTTTATGTGTCTGACATGAGGTTTCCATGACCATGTCAGTGTGTTGCTTTTGTACCATTTCATCAGTGATTGTTGTACAGCTTAAGTTGTGCTAATGCTATTGTTAGCATCGGATCGCAAATAAAACAAGAAGGCTCCGTGGGATGAGAGCGTAGGGGAAATGAGAAGCCTGTGAGCGAGTTGGGGGCGGGGCTAAACATTCAAACCTACAGAAACGGGTATAGCTGCTTTAAGACGTGCATAGTCATTCTCTTGTTGGTGTGACAGGGGCTGGCTTACCTCCTGCTGAGAGGAATTCATATCTGTATCTCATCCTGTCCTTAAAACTCTGGTTCAGACTCCACTTCTCTGCCAGATTATTCCATGCCACAAGTCAAGTACTATTTACTTTTTTGTTCTTGTGTTCAGGTCCAAACATCGAGCCTCCCGTCCACTCCTTGTCTCCACCCCGTGTTGCCTTTCTGTTTTGTGAATGAAATACATTTGTGATGGTGAATCCAGCCACGTCTCTGTCTCTGCTTTGGGGTCCAACACATTCCTGTAACATCTCTGGTGTCATGGTGCAGGGACAGAACGGTTTTGCTTAAGTAACTTTCCTCCAAACGCTTTAAAAAGGCAAATCTCTTCTCTGGCTGCTTTGCCAGGGGGCCCGGCCTTGGGTCAGAAAGGCAGGTGTTAGAAAAGTGTGAACATATTCCTTAAAATACTCCTACATCCAAGTGGTGAAACAAATGGCCTGTAAAATGTATTCATTCCGGAGGTTTTCTGAAAGGAAAATGTAAAAATCTCCCCATAACCTTTTGAGTTATAGTGTAAAGAAATGGATAATGAGAGCATTTCAATGTCGTAGAGAACTTTTCTAACTTTTTTATCAACAAGATTGTTAACCCTAGCCCTAACATCAAGACTAAACTCAACTTAAACATGGCCATACATCTGAATTACCACTTGACTCTACTAAATAACTATTGTAATTGGTTTATATATCATTTCTTTATGACAAATTTCACATCAAAGAACAGAGAATTCCATCATTTTCAGTCAAGTGCCGCAAAAAAGACAACATAAGACCCAACAGGTGTCCATTCAATTCATAATCCACGACCCAAAGATATCAGATCACACAAACTGTATAAGAAACATTCTCACTTAAAGCATTTAACACAGCTCGACCAGTTGGACACTACACCAGTATACTGTAATGTCACCAGTAGCTCGCCAGCCCCTCACAGGTAGCTCGCCGAAGGAATTAGAATTTAACAAATACACTTCAACAAATACTTTTTGACCCATTACATATCTATTATAAGTATAAATAAAGGGTTATACAGTATTATGGTGTATTTTTAGTGTGTTCTCTGAGTTTGGTTGCAATTATTAGATCGATTTCTAATACGACTGCAAAAAGGAGTAGCTCTCTGCCTGTTTGTTTTTTCTATAAAAGTAGCTCTCTGATCGAAAAAGGTTGGAAACCCCTGTTGTAATGAGAGGCAGGCGTTTCTGTTTCAAGTTAAACACAGAAAAAATAATAATTAAAAAGGCTTGCATTTCACGATCAGCCCAATCATCCTCCATTTTGCTCATGTTGATTAATTTCTGAAATGTTGCACGTACACGTACACGATATAGGGGCTGAGAACAGAGATAATGAAGTGAAAATACAGTATTATAGGTGAGAAAAACGTACTGTATAAGCGTATCCGCACATATGAGAGACACTTGGATCGTACATGTTAAGTGAAGCATGGAGACTACAGGCACTGGCACAGCAGGATTACATATGAAACTCTGAGAGGAGACGATGCCACGAATACTACGAAGAAGCAGCCTGAGACGACTCCAATTTAATTGTCTTGCACTGACGGACCTGGGGATTTTCAGAGGCTGTACTGGAAGCGAACAGGTTTGTTTCTCTCTCACGCCGTCGAAGAAAAAATGTCTCCCAACTACTAAAGAATGTACAATGTGTTGCGCTAACGGAAGCTGGCGGCTGGAGTAGCAATTGGCACGTTCCTTGCATGTGGTCGCAGCTGGTTGCCCACTCGGAACGCCACTGGACAATTCCCCAGACACCTACTTTTCTTTTTTTTCCCTTCTTCTTCATGCCTTAAAGTCGTACAGATGTGGCCTGTCCAAAAGGCAAACTATAGTCTTGCATGCCCAACTATTTTTAGATTGAGCAAAGAAAAAAAAGGAAAAGCAGTGTTCCTAACGCCTAGCATCTATTTGAACTCCCTGAGAAAATCACACCCGCAAAGAATGTTCTGCAATCTAAAAAAGAAGCGTGTACAGACAGAGACTCCCAAGCGGCGTTGACATTTTTGACCCTTGCAGTCGCCGTACATGGAGAAAGCGAAGCAGTGAGGCATGCTTGAGTAAGAAGCAAGAACGGTTGGACCAAAAGCACCAGCAGCAGTTGTATCCAAGTACAGTATACCCCTTGGACC